ATGTTGGAATGAAACATAGCATTGACTGTGAGAATAGCATGTTGTTATTATGTGCCACTGAGTTGACTATGACTCATAGTGACCCTATGGACAACAAACCTGAATCCTGCACTATTTTGTGCCATCCTACCATTGAAACATTGTTACTGACACTGCATCAATGTATCTTGTTGAAGATGTTTCTCTCTTATGCTGATTCTCCACCTTTCCAAGTATGATGTCCTTCTCCAAGCAATGCCCATAACAATACTGCCTATTGGTCCAGTGGTAAGAATCTTTGTTTTCCTGACATTAAGATGCAATCCATACTGAAGGCTGCATTCCTTGACTTTCTGCAATGAGTGCTTCAAGTCCTCCTCACCTTCAGCAAGCAAGGTTATATCATTTTCATAATGCAGATTATTGATGAGTCTTCCCCCAATCCTGATCCCCACTCTCCCTCATAGAGCCTAGGTTCTAGGAAAATTTGCTCAGATTTAATAGGTATGGAGAGAGAATACAACCCTGGCAAACTCCCTTCCCAATTCCAAACCATGCAGTGTTCTCCTGCTCTGTCACACAACAAATTCCTGGTCCAGGTATACCTTCCACATAAGCACAATCAAGTGCTCTGGGATTCCCATTCTTCTCCATGTCAGCCACAACTTGTCCAGATCTGCACAGTCAAAATGCCTTTGCATAGTCAATAAAGCACAAATAGACATTCTTCTGGTATTCCTTACTTTCATTCAGAATACATCTGACATCTCCAAAGATTGAATTGGAGTATCAAGAAGCCAAAACAAAAGGAAAACATGTCAGAGTAAAAGAGCTGAACAAACAATATCAAAGGGCAGCTCAGGAGAAAAAAGCAAAGTATTATATTGAAATATGCAGAGACCTGGAATTGGAGAATTAAAAGGGAAGAACTTGCTTGCTCTGTATTTCTCAAGCTGAAAGAACTGAAAAACAAACTTAAGCCTCATGTTACAATATTGAAAGATGCTACAGGCAATATATTTAATGATTCAGAAAGTATCAAAAGATGATGGAGGGAATACTCAGAGTTCCTGTACAAGAAAGAATTTAATTGACTGACACTGAAAACTTCCCAGCAGTACCATATGAACAAGAACCAATGGTAATGAAGGAGGAAGTAGAGGCTGCATTGAAGGCATTGGCAAAATATAAGACTCCAGGGATTGATGGGATACCAATTGATTTGCTTCAGTTAACAGATGCAGCCTTGGATGCCCTTAGCAGTCTATGCCTGGAAATTTAGAGGACAGCTGTCTGGTCAATGATTGGAAGAGGTCCATATTTGTTCCCATTCCCAATAAAGGTGATCCAGCTTAATGTGGAAATTATGAAACAATATCATTGATATCAAATGCAAGTAAAATACTGGTGAAGATTATTCAAAAACAGCTGGAACAGTACATAGATAAGGAACTGTCAGAAGTTCAACCAGGATTTAGAAGAGACTGTGGTACCAGGGATCAAAGGTTGATAGAAATCTTATATATCCTTATCTTTAGCTTTAATTGTTAGTGTGTATATTTGACTAATAGTTGTATTAACAGGTCTTCTTTATATGTATATGGTTTGTATCCATTCATTCACAGCATTGTACTTCAGGATGAATCTTGAAATTATAGTTTTAACTATTAATTCAACCCCATCCTTCCTGTTTTATTTTCATTCTGAGCATAATAAATAATAAAATTGTCTGATTCTAAGTAGTCAATGTCAATCCATTTCACCTCACTAATGCCTAAATGTTGATCTTTTTGTGTTCCATTTCTCTTTTTCCTATGCTCAATTCTGCTAAATTAGTATTTTTTATGTTAGATGTTCCAATTATTAAAGATGTTTGCAATTGTTCTTCCTAATTTTTTAGTGTCTTCCAATCTGAAGGTTCTACTCCAGTGCTATATCTAACATATGTTCTTCTATTGTTCATAGTATGGTGTTATGTGCTGTCAAGTTGGAACCAACCTATAGTTGCCCCTTCAGCAAGTTTTCAGAGGCAGCAAATCACATGGGAGGAAACTGTCCATCTGTCTCCTTCAGAGCAGCTGGTGGATTAAAACTGTGTGCCTTTGCATTGGCAGCACAATTTCTTACCACTAAGCCACCACCAGGCAATGTTTTGTTCTGTTACACATTGAGTTACTACGAGTCAGAACCAATTCCACAGCACTTGATAATTATTACAATACCAAACCCCTTTTTACTGAATTTGGGAAAAAGTCAGAATTTTTTGCAGTCAATAAAATGACAATAACTAGATATTTGCATCATTGGCCAGCATGAGAAACACATAATCAAATACCTACTGGACAAAAATCTCAGTGACTCAAACGCAGTATGTTTCAAACCATATTATCAACATCCTTCCATATCTAATCAGGTTTTATGTGCTCAGTTTAGTGAACAGTATCAATGCCAATAGGATCTGGATATTTATCCAGATATCTTAGCCAGAAAGCTGGGTATCATCATGTATCCAGCTTAATGCTTACACTTATTTAATTCCTCATTGATATATGTTGTTTAATCTCTTATCTTCTTTCTTCTGCTTCTTTCTCACAATCTCACTCTCAGTTCTCACTTCTCACTTCTCACATGCAATTGGGAAAATCTTTTTTGGGTTTCTTAAAAATCCCTGGAATCAAACCCTACTGACATACTTTAGTTCAGGATCTGGTAAATGTTTTGCTTGGAATAATTCAGTGATTTACTAATTAGTCACTGTTTCCTCATAATAACCCTCTCAAATCCATTTTCTACCCAATACTTTCTCTAAGATGATTCTCTATTTGTTTTTCCTGTCAGCCCAGAATTTCTTTTTACCTTAACTATCTGGAGCACTCTTCCTTTAAGAGCCAGTTTATCATATTTCTCATATAAGATCATCCCCAATCCCTCTCCAGCAGTTCAATTCATCTGGCCACTTATGAGGCAAAATTCATCATTTTCCTTAATCAAACCATCCATCTTTGTGGTAATATTTACTACTAAAATATTTGCCTTATTTATTCTCACCTACAGCTTCTGCACTCAGAGTAGACTAGAATTTCTCACTTATAGAATTCCCAAGCCTATAAATCTTTATGGAAGCAGACAAAAAAGCTGGTGGATTTGACCTATAACCTTTGGTTACCAGCTGTATGATCTCTTCTATATTTACTATAACCAGAAAATGCCAGTGATGGAAAATGCGGCTTCTTCCCCATTTTTATGGGAATGGAATGGCCATAGTAATAATAGTGAAACTCTTTGAAAGTCATTTTTTGGTGAGATAATAATCCCAGATTTCGTGAAACAAAGAGAGACATTTGACTTTCTTTTTTGAACATCCTCTAAAGTTATATCCAAGACTGATGGTAAGGCCATCATTATCTATCACAGCTATGGACTTTTTAGTTTAATCAGATGCTCACTCTCATTGTCATTCTAGCTTCCTCAGCTCTATCTCTTATATCTTCTCTGTTTATTAGGTGACCAAAAGGTAACATTTACCTGAGAGATATGTCAAAGTGCTCGACTGATCAGGTTCTCTTATTTATGCACACAGTTCATATTTTATTACTAGGGGTCATAAGTAAATAATTTTATCTTTAATGTGACCATCTGCTGTATAAAGAGCTATCCAAAATAGTCTTTCATTCTTGCCACCGTTCATGCAAACAGGATTCATATCCTTTATGGAGAAGCTAAAACTTAAAACCATAAATATTTGCCTCACAGAATGCAAACAAAGAAGGCTCAGTTGACCTTCCTGTGAAAAGAAATGTTATTAACATATGTACCAGTCCTTTCTTCTCTGAGACCAGAAAAACAAACAAACAAAAAAACAAAACAAAAAACCCCTGATAACTGTTTTTCCTAAGGCATTTTTTCTAGAGCATTCAAGGAGTAAGAAAGGAATTTAAGGTGAGGAGAACAGCTGAAAAGGGATAAAAGTGATTACGTGTAGAATTCTTCCTGCATAGCTTTTACCTGACATAGTTCTATGTTGTCAGTAGTTTCTGTTTACACACTTGAAAAAGGAAAATGTGGTAGGACAGCATTCCTTTGGAGAACTAGAGTGCTGACAGTTTACTAAATGTCAAAGTCATTTGCTGTCATTTGGTATTACATAAAGTAACTCTTCCAGTCTTCAGCCTGATAAATCTACTATCAAAAGGCTATGAATTTCCTTTGCAAAAATGGAGACCATAGTACACTCCCAGAGTAGGAATAGTTTGAAAAAAAATAAATTTATTCTCAACTTCTTTTATGTGTTTATCAGCTGTATTTCCCAAATACTAAAAATTAGGTGACTTAAAATGATAGAAATGTATTCTCCCGCAGCTCTGGAGACCAGAAATCTGAAATAACATTGTTGACAGAACTACATACCCTCTGGATGCTGTAAGGAATATTCTGCCCATGTAGTAGTTATAGATACTGCACTCCAACCTCTGTGTAGACATCACTCCAATATCTGCCTTGTCTTCTCATTAACTTTTGTCATCTATGTCTCCCTCTGTGTATCATTTATAAGAACACTTGCCATTGTATTTAAGACTCACATTGGTGATCCAATATAAGCTAATCTTAAAACTATTCACATATTACATCTTGGGGCGGGAACAAACTAAAAACACTACTTTTTTCCCAAATAAGGTCGCATTCACAGATGCCGAGGCTAAAGTGTAGACATATAAGGGTTCTGGTTTTTTCTCTGATTTTTTTGCAGGAGTGTTGGGTGGATTGGAGAAAGTGGTCACCATTTAACCTACTACATTAATTAACATGCATGAACAAAATCTTTGCTCTTTTTAGTCATCACAGTATCCAGTAACTTTTTATGTTTTAGAGTACTCCTTTCCCCCCCAAAAAACATCATTATTTCTATCATTTAAATGTATTTTATAACACCATGCTACCATTTTAAGTGATACTATCTTATCCTTTAAGCCACATATCTCTATTTACTCTAATAATATTATTTCTTTTTTTCCTATTCCTAGGGTCATATGGGCGTACCAGGACCAAGAGGTGCCTCTGGTCAACAAGGACCTCCAGTAAGTTTTTACTTCTTTATAATTTTGACATTTAAAAAAAATCAGCATTAATATCATTTATTTGGCCCTTACATTACATATGATTCTTGTTTTGGTTCCTATTAAAGGGAGATCCAGGTGAACAAGGTGAACAAGGACTAAAAGGAGAAAAGGGAGCTGAAGTAAGTTCAAACTATTTAGGATCATTTGAAATTTATAAGACTTAAGAAAGCAGTAGTATTAGAAGTTATTTTCTATATCATGTGATAATTCATTTTCCCCCACAGGATTTGTTTTTCCAATAACATGCTAAAACATCATTGTTGATTGGTTTTGGTTTTGGTTTGGTTTTTGTTTTTGGTTTTTTTTGTTTGTTTTTTACTATCATCCACATTCTCTTTACCAGAAGTCTGTAATACACTATGGCTTTGTAAAAATTGTCTGAGATTATTTGAAGCAGAAATGCCAATGAGCTTTAAAACCGGTACTACAGAGTGAAAACTCTATCAGCCAAACTATTTACTTGTTTTAGGAAGGTTAGGGTGGAAATAATAGTTTAATTATGTGACACTGACTCACAATTTAAAAAACTTTTTTTTCCATAAGAAAGATAATTTGGTACCAAGTAAGCCAAAAAAAGTATTGATTTATTGGATTCAGACTTCTCTTTTTCTAAGCATTAATAGATACTACTTCATCCATAAATAGTAGCTTCAGCTTGTTGCTGCCCTGTTTTCATGGCATTTTGACTTCAGATGCTCTTGGTTTAAAGTTTAATTCTTAAGAATATGTGCTATATTGTAATAGAACATGAACATATAAAAACTATTGGATCTGAAATCATGTCTCTCCTAATTTTTACCCCTACATGTATTGAAAACTTGTGGGATTAAGTGTTAAGATAGGTTTGAATAATATATCTTACATAGGTGTTTCCTCTGTCAAAGTCATTTTGAATAGTCTTCCCTTCTGTCTAGTAACTCCTCAAAACCAAGCCTACTGTCACTGAGTTGATTCCAACTCATAGTGACCCTCTCTCAGGTTTCTTTTTTGGTTTTGTTTTTTGTTGGGTTTAGTTTTGTTTTGTTTTGTTTTCAGGTTTCTGAGGTTATAAACCTTTCCCAGAATAGACTTCCCCTCTTTCTCTTTCTGTTGTGGAGCAGCTGATAGATCCAAGCTGCCGACTTTTTTGTTGGCAGCCCAATAAATGATGCACTGTGCCACCAGGGATCATTAACTCCTTATAAGATTTATTAATAAGTAAGAATTATTAAATACTTTTCATGTCATTTACTGCTTCTGAAACCCCCACTGGAGGGTCACCTATGGGTCAATTCCAACTCAACAGCACACTACACTATCAACAATTGAAGAAAGCCTGAACAAGAAAAAAATGCGGAGAAAAGAAAACCATTGTGTAATTCACTCCTCGGTAAAGCTCAACTCATTGCCATTGAGTCAGAACTGATTCATGACTGCTCTTCTAGCAAGTTTTCAGAGGTCATAAATCACACAGAAGGAGACTGCCCATCTTTCTCCCACAGAGTGGCTCGTGCCTTTTCATTAGCTGTTCAAATATCTACGCACTAGGCCACCAGAACTCGCCTCTAATTCACCTAGTGTTTTTCAATGCGAAAGTGGAACAAAACCTAAAAGCTGAAAAACTGCAATTGCTTTCTATCACTTCAGCCTATTTGTGTGCTGTTGTTGTTGTTGTTATTGTTGTTACTGTTCGGTACCATCGGATCGGGTACGACCCATAGCTACCCTACCCCACGAACAACAGCTCTGAACCCTGTCATGTTCTATGCCAGCCTCACAATTCCTGATGTATTAGAACCCATTGCAGCAGTCACTGTGTTATTCCACTCACCTGGTTAAGGGTCTTCCTAGCCTTCAGTGACCCTCCACCTTTCCAGGCATCATGTCCCTCCCCAAAAAATAGCCTCTCCTAGCAACATGCTGAAGTGTGTGAGGTGGATCTTTATTACTTTGCCTACAAGAAGCACTCTGGCTGCACTTTCTTCAAGACATATTTGTCATATTTGTGTTAAATGCCTGAATATGGAAGCACCCTTTCAATGCTTAAACCTAAATTTATAAGTTTTTATAATGAATTTTTACAATTTTTGCAGTGCTTTCTGTTCACTTTCTGACATAGCTTAAGAAGAAGAAAATATATTTCTTGGGGTTCATTATGTTCAAATTATAACAATGGAAATCAAATCCTTTTACTAGACAAGTTCTTCAGCCTACATGATAAGCTGTTCTTTGACATCGAATATGAAAGGTGGTGGAGAACCATGTAATCAACACAATCAAGGAGAATTCCTTCTCTCCTGTTGGGATCAATATTGGCATTCCTTCCTCCTTCTCCCAAGGAAAAAAAAAAACCCCACCTCTTGTCATTGAGTCACTTATGACTCATAGTGACCTATAGAACAGAGTAGAGTTGCCTTTGAGGACTTCCAATCTTTACAGAGACATCTTTCTCCCCCAGAGAAGCTGTTAAGTTTGAACACTGACCTTTTGTTTAGCGAATGGATACTTTAACCACTGTTCCACCAAGGTTTCTGATGAGCACTCAAAATCACATTGAAAAGCAACAGAAGGAAAACAGAAAAATTTATTCATATATGTACAGATAACTTTTTGGTGGTAGATGAGCACTATTCTCTGGTAATTTTAAGATTTCTTGTGCTTTGTTCCCCATCTGTTGTTATTAGGTGTTGAGTCAAGTCCAACTCATAGCTACCTTTTGAACAACATATTTAAACTATCCTGTGCCATCCTCACAATTTCTTACACACTTAAGTCCATTGTTGTAATCACTGTCAGTCCACCTTGTTAAGGGTCTTCTTCTCTTTCATCATCCCTCCACCTTCCCTCTCCAATACTGTATAACCTCTCCTAGCAACATGCCCAACGTATGTGAAATGAAGCTTCGTCATCTTTCTCTCCAAGGAGCGCTCTGGCAGCATCTTCTCCAAGACATATTTATCAAATCTATTTTTTTCTTTTGGCAGTCCATTGGATATGCAGTACTCTTCTCCAACAACACAGTTCAAAGACACCAGTTAATCTTCTGTCATTCTTATTCATTGCCCAGCTCTCAGATGCATAGCAAGTGATTGAAAAGACCATGGCCGGTGTTCAGTTGTCGCTGTTGGTGGGCAAAAAATACAGCCAAGATGCTGCGGAATATGCTGGCTCTTCGTCAAATTACCCAGAGGACCATAAGTGCTACTTCACGCAGACAGTTTGAAAATAAAGTTCGAGAAAAACAAAAGCTGTTTCAGGAGGATAATGGAATTCCAGTGTATCTAAAGGGTGGGATAGCTGATGCCCTCCTGTATAGAGCCACCATGCTTCTTACAGTTGGCGGAACAGCATATGCCATATATCAGATGGCTGTGGCTTCGTTTCCCAAGAAGCAGGATTGACTTCAAATTATCATCCCAGCTCTGGCTTCAGTTTAATTCCGTGCCCTATGGACCAGTAATCTGATCAAAAGAGCTCTTCTTTGGGGATCAGTATTTATTGACTTGCACTAACTGTCACCAATAAAGCAGTCTTTACCATGAAAAAAAAAAGAGAGAAAAGACCATGGCCTCAGTCAGGCATATCAAACTAATAGTCCTCGATCTACCATCATTGCACCTCAATAATTTGGAGAGGTCCCTGACTGCAGAATTTCCCAGTACAATATATCTCCTGATTCCTGGCACCAAGAGTACTGATGATGGATCCAGGTCAGATGAAGTTGTTGACATTTTCAATCTTTTCACCACCTGTTATGATTTTTTTTTTCTTGACATTGAGATGCAATCCATATTAAAGGCTGTAGTCTGATATTCTGAAGCAAGCACTTCAAGTTCTACTTTCTTTCAGCTAAGAAGTTTGTATCATCAGAATACCAAAGATTACTGATGAATCTTCCTCCAATCCTGATACCACATTCTTCTTCACAGAGTTCAGCTATTTAAATATACAGATTAAGTAGGTATGGAGAAAGGATAAAACCTTGATGCATACCTTTGTTAATTTTAAACCATGCAGTGTTCCTTTGCTCTGTTTGCACAGTAGCCTTTTGATCTAGGTATAGGTTTCACAAGAGCACAATTAAGTGTTGTAGAAAGCCCCTTCCTCTCAATATTAAGCATAATTTTCTATTATCCACACAATCAAGTCCCTTGCAATGTACAACAAAGCACAAATAGACATTCTTCTGATATTCTTTGCTTTCAGCAAGGATCCATCCAACATTAACAATGGTATCCCTAGTACTATGGCTTCTTCTAAGTCCAGCTTGAACTTCTGGAAGTTCCCTGTCTTTGTACTGTTCCAGCCATTTTTCAACTATCTTCAGCAGTGTTTTGCTTGCATGTGATATTATACTGTTTGACAATTTCCACTTTCCGTTGGATCACCTTTTTTGGGAATGATATTAAATATGTGTCTTTTCTAGTCAGTTAATCAGAAAGCTGTTGTCCAAATTTCTGGACCTGCATCTGACATTTGAAATATGTCAATTGGTATACCATTGATTCTTTGGGGCCTTATTTTTTCCCAGTGCCTTCTGGGCAGCTTGAACTTCTTCCTTTATTTCTATTGGGTCTTGATCATATGGTATTACCTGAAATATTTCAGGGAGACCAATTCTTTTTGGTACAGTGATACTGTGTATTTCTTCCATCTTCTGATGCTTCCTGGATCATTCAAGATTTTGCCTACAAAATGTAGAAATACATTTCTAAGTAACTCAACTCAAGTTTTGAATTTGTTTTTTCAGTTATTTTAGCCTGAGAAATTCGAAGCAATTCTTTCCTTTGTATACTTCAATTCTAGGTCTCCACACATTCCATTAAAATAATTTGCTTGGTCTTTTCAATCTGTCCATTGAAATCTTCTGTTCAGCTCTTTAACTTCAACATCTCTTCTGTTTGTTTTGGTTTCTCAATATTCTAGTGCAATTTTATGGTCTCTTCTGACATTCGTTTTCATTTTTTTTCTTCCTCCTTTGTCTTTTTAGTGACATTTTACTCTCTTCATGGATGAAATCCTTGATGTTAGTCCACAAGTTCTGTGTCTTCAATCATTAGTGTTCAACACTTCAAACTTATTCTTATCTTTAAATTTAGGTAGGATAGACTAAAAATAATACTTTTGTTCCCTTGAATTTTTCATTTTCTTCAGTTTCAGTTTAAATTTGGGCATGAGTAATTGATAATCTGTTCTATAGTCAGCACATGACCTTGTTTTGATTGCTGATATTGAGCTTCTCTAATGATTCCTTCCATGGATGTAGTCAATCAAATTAGTATATAATCCATCTGGTGATGTCCATTTATAAAGCCATCATTTGTGTTTTTAAAAAGTCATTGAACAACATAAAAAAATTGATCATTATATTGCCAACCTCATTTCTATTACCAGGTCCATACTTTCCAACTACCATTACTTCTTCATTGTTTCCAACTTTAGCATTCTAGTCACCAATTACCATTACTACTTCAATTTTTTATTTAAAATAAAATTTTTATTTTATACTCACTTACTTTAAAAGTTTGTATACATTGTTTTTTCACACCAGATCTTTCCTATTTTCTTTACCTACCCCCCCCTTCGTCCATCAAATTGTGTGACCCTATGATTAACCACCACCCTTGCCCATCCTCACCACTCAGCTCCACTTCTCCCCTCTTGGATCCTCATACACGTTCTACAACATCATTAATACTTCTTGATTGCATTTTTGGCCAAGTTGAGGCTGCAAAATTTGGTAAAAATCTTCAATTTTGTCCTCATTGGCTTTACCAGTACATGTGTATCATTGAATGTTAGTCAAATTAGCAGATCTTCCTTATATGTGTATGAGTATCCTGTTATTTACAACATTGTGTTTCAAGATGTTGTTGTTGCTGTTGTTGTTACGTGCCATCAAATCATAGATGACTCATAGCAACCCTATGTAGGAAAGACCTGAACACTTGTGTAACTTTCAACTTTTCTCCATGTTCATAGAGTTTCCAGAGGCAAGATATTTTGGAAGTGGATGCCACTCCTGCTTCCAAGCTTGTCTTAATCGGGGAGCTCTACCAAACACTGCTCACCATGAGTAGCCATTATCTCATTTGACCCATCAGTGCCACAGTGTTTAGCATCACAGCAACCACAAACGTGCAAATATCTTTTTAATTAGGAATGCAACACCATTCTTGCTCTGTGTTGTTGCTGTCCCTGGCATAGTATACCATTTTCTGATTCAAAGTGGCCAAAGACAATCCATTTCATTTTGCTAATGCCTAGAATGTCAATGTTCATTCATTTCATTTCACTTTTTACAGCTCCTAGTTTTCCAACATTTATACTTTGTGCACTACATGTTCCATCCATTAAAGGCTGTTTGCAGTTGTTTCTCCTCACTTTGACTAACTTCCAATCTGGGCTCTACCTCTAATACTGTAACTATCTCTGTTTGTCTATTATTGATACTTTTATCTAATATAAAGTGGTTATTTTTCTTTTCTGAAAATGCATTTTAACCGTTAATTCCCCTAAGAGAGTGAATTAAAAATTGATTGTCCAAAAATCTTATATTAATCTCCTTTCTAGAGAAGCATTTAGGGACTAGTAAGTAGCTTTAGTTATGTTGCTTTGTTTGGCTTTTAAAAACCTGGAATTTATTTTCTCAGTTCTATTGTCAAGATGTACAGATTTGTCTTTCTCCATTATTATATGTGTTCCCTTGTGTGTCTGCCTTGCCCTTTTATAAAACACCACTCAAATTAGGATTAGCATTAATGCCTATCCTACTTTTGTATGACTTAGGTGAAAACTAAAGAAAATCTTGATTTCCGAATAAAAATATATTAACAGATATAAGAGAACACCAGCATAACTTTTGGGGAAACCAAATTAATTCTTCACATTGACTTTTGTTAAATTATTTGCTCTTCATTTGAAAAGAGAATCTTAAAGTATCTTTTTATTCCTATTTCCTAAGTAGTTTTCTGGTTTGAGTTTGATTTTGTTTTGGTTTTGATTTTTGTTAAACATATTTGAAATTGCCAAGGAAAAAATAGAACTATTTAAATTATACCAGTAAAAGTAGGAAACTTTCCCCCCCAGGCAGGGAAAAAAAACAAAAAAACAAAACCCCAGACGCACTGCCATCAAATCAATTCCCACTCATGAAAATCTTCCCTTAGTTTCCAAGACTGTAAATATTCATAAATGTGTAAATGTATAATAAATGTGATTTTTGTTCAGCTAGGGTCATTAACCTTAAAGTAAACCTGTGTTAAAATGTAAACATTTTGAAATTCTAGCTAATATCTTTTCTTCTGATGCCCTTTGTGAACTTAGATTTAACTTCTTTCTGTACTGCTTTATTCTGTTATGCCTGCTATTATTATTGTGTACAGTCGAGTCAGAACCAACCCATAGCTGACCCTCCAGCAGATTTTTAAAGACAGTTTAATCCCATGTTAGAAGCTTGCCCTTCTTTGTACTGCAGAGCTTCTGGTGGATTTAAACCACATGCCCTTTGGATTGAAGTATAATCCTTAGCACTGAAATAGCCTATTTCTTTTTTACTTTTAACAGTGAAATTAAACATGAAACATCATAGTTCTCACTCTCTTTATAACACCTATAAATATGAATAGATAACTATCATTTGACAAGCTTACATGTGGTCAAGAGTTTAAGCCCTTTAACTTGTCATTCTTAGTTAATTATTGTTATTACTGGTAGTAATAAAAATCTTCACTGCACATAAAGCACCCAATCTCAGGCATCTGCAGGCTGAAAGTTAAAATACTTTTGGGTCTGAGAGCCATAGGCCCTCAGGCCAAGAAAACAACAATTACACACCAGATCTAAAGGACATAACATCCTCTTCTGGGAAACTATCCTCTTGTGTCAGCACCATGTCACAATTGAAAGAGGTACTAAGCCACAAGAAGTGAGTCCTGGAGCAGAAGGACTCTTCCTCAGAACCATCTGACACTGGAAGCCTTCCCTGATATTTGTACCTGGTATTTGGACTTAGATATTCTTAAATTCAAGAAATACTGGCCACAACATAAGAAACTGGCAGCAGCACAAGGTGTTCGTAATCACTGAAGCCCTGACGGCTTGAGGCTCAAGCCATCATATCAAGGGCTGGTCAGGAGGAGAGAGGTGTTGAATGATGTAGGCAAGAGTGAAAAAGGAATGCTAGTGGAATAGGGAAAGGAGTGAGTCAAGACACATTTGGCAAGGGTGAGTAGCAACACTGAGTCTATTGGTCACTTCTATAATTGGGTAAATGTCTTTCATTTTCTCCTTTCTGTAAAATGCTTGTCTTCCAGATACTATTCTAAAAAAAATAATACAGTATAGAAATAAGGATTGGCCATCCACTTCTGAAATAACAGGGCTTTGAAAACCCTGTGTACAATTGAGCACACTTAGACTAGCAGACATGGAAACTGAGGCTGAGATCTCAAATACAGAAACACAAAGAAGAGGAACAGTTGTAAGCAAACACTAGTGATTGGATAGTGGAATATAAGAAACAGGAACATAGGA